AGGTCGTTACATTTGGCCAAGGGAACCAGGGCTCGCCCCTGTAATACTGTATTAGCATTAGTTGCTCTGACCTGCGGCTTCCCAGCGCCGCGTCAGGACACGCTTCCACGATGAGGATCTACAAGTAGACCCAAGAGATGCTGGCTGTGGAGGAGTACCCGATCTACTACGAGTCAGACGACACCAGCCCCCACGTGGACCTGGAGGTCGAGGAGGAGATGGTTCCGTTTGTCATTGACACCGGAAGCTTCTACTCGCTGATCTCCCTCAAGTTGGTCGAGGAATGGGGCTGGCGCGAGGAGATTCGGCCCTTAGAAGAGGCCAAGGACGAGATCGGTTACATTGGTCTAATTTTCAAGCTCAAGGGAATACTCTTTACGGACAACTTTCTGGTCGTCGATACGGACTACAACATCCTTGGCACGAGAGCCTTAAATCACTTTAGCTGCACCATTGACATGGATTCCCATAAACTTATTTTCCGGGACTTCGACTGCGAGGAGTGGATGATGCAGCCGAATGACACGGTGCGCATTGAAGGCCAAGATTTCAGCGCCTTGGCAGATACGGGATCAGAAGGATTCATAAGGGGCCCCATGGAGTTAGCTCAGGAGCTCTAGCTGCCCTTGGAGGACATTAGTCACAAACAGTTTACACTCGTAGGGATCTATGGGAAGTTCTAGGTCGAGTACGAAGCGCAGGACGTGTGTGTCAGTGCCTATGGCATGGAGAGGCGCGGCGTCTTCCGCGTGACTCCCAAGGCCTTTGGTTGTGAAGAGGCAGTTTTAGGCATGAAATTCCTTCACGGGGCGAGGATTCGCTGCGAAAAGGAGCGCTGCAAATAACGTTCGCGTAAAAGGATGAAGGCAAGCCGACCGCCCGTTAGCTCTGATCAGGGCCTCTGCGAACGCAGCGGATGAATCCGAGCCCGACCGATGTTCGTTGCCAACGCCTTTGTAATTATGCTTATACTTAAGACCTGGTTCCTTGCCACGTCACCTGTCGGTCTTCGTCAAGGGGCTCAGAGGTCATGCTCTTCCTTGTACTTGCTGAATACTAAAAAAAAGAAAAAATAAAAAGTAATAATCGTACACACACACACACACATACACACACACACACACACACACACACACACACACACAGACATATATACACACACACACCACACACACACACACACACACACACACACACACACACACACACACACACACACACATATATATATATATATATATATATATATATATATATATATATATACATACACACACACACACACACACACACACACACACACACACACACACACACACACACACATATATATATATATATATACACACACACCCACACACACACACACACACACACATATATATATATATATATATATATATATATATATATATATATATATATATATATATATATATATATACACTTATTTCTCACTGTTGTTAGGCCGCATATTGGCCAATACCCATGCAAAAACCAATAGGGAATGAGCCGTAATAGGAAAGTCAGTGGAGACGGCTTATCCGTAACGGGGACCCTATACAGAAATGGGAGAAAGCTGAGAAGATTTAGGATGACGTAGGTTCTGTCTTCTGCGACGGTACATGCACTGCCTATTTCATCTATTGGAATTCTAATCTATGCGACGTGGTGTTTACAGCATCAGTGATTTTAGTCTGTTGTCCATGATGTAGGAATGATTCGGTGCAGGTGTTGTGGGCTGCCAGCTGTGGTTGTGCGCAATGGCATCACATTATACGTTCTTTGATGCCGTGTTATGTCGACGCTGATTAATCCTATTGTAAATGCTATGTATGTTTCGCTGTAATTAGTTTTGTCTTGGTGTTTCTTTCTCTATTATCTCTATCTCTCTATCTCTCTTTGTTTCTATGTTTCTCTCTTTGTTTCGCTCTATCTCTGTTGCTTCTCTTTCTTTCTCCCTCTATCTCTCTCTGTTTCTCTCTTTCTCTCAATGCAGGGCCGTGCGTAGGATTTTTAAAATGGGAGGGGGCTTCATTTTTTTCTTCATAACGCGTGATTTCTGTTTCCGTAATATAGGTTTACCGATTGATATAACAAGAATAAAAAGAACTTTGACTGTTGAGTATTAAGAAGGTAAGCCGCACTAGCTGGCGATACCCGGTAGAGCACCGTGTTCTAATAAAGAATTGCACGTTCCGTTATTTCACAAATCTCTAATTGTGGTGGTGACAAACTGAATGTGGCTATAGTAATTATATATAAACACAGTGAGAGAGAGAGAGAGAGAGAGAGAGAGAGAGAGAGAGAGAGAGAGAGAGAGAGAGAGAGAGAGAGAGAGAGAGAGAGAGAGAGAGACAGTCGGTTGGAGAATGGAGGTTCTCCAAGTGGTTTCCAACCTGTCAAATAAAAGACCCTTGAAAGAAGCCCTCTTAGCCCTCCCGAGGGAATTCGTGACGTAAAAGCGATCCACATATGATAAAAGATCCAAAATCTGTGCTGAAAATTTGGTATCGTGTTTGCTCTTTTGGTGATACACAGAGGTTCTAGGTATGGCCCTACATGAAAATGTACTTCTACGGGCACTAAATTAGTGCAGAATTAGTGTTTTCCGTACATTCTAGCTTTGACCATCCAACACATATAATTTTCACAAAGAGGAGGTTCGCGTCTCAAATTCACTCGCGCTGTAAAATCAGACCACCAACTCTAGTAGTGTAAAATTTACAGTGATCGGAACCGGTGACCAGATTCTTGCAATTTCTGCCCGTGTGTGTAGTTCGCAAATACAGAATTTTTTCGCGGATGGTTAGAGCGCAGCGTCAAATAGATGTCTTACCTACAGACAGATGGCGTGCAAGAACAATATCATTTACCAAATATATGTCCGAATTCTTCTTTTCTTCTTTAACAATGGTACATGTTCCAAATGAAAAGTTTAGTGTAAAGAAAATACTTTCAGGGTACGGTCGCCTTTGCCTGGCCAATGAAATCTGATAGATCTGGCAGGTTATCGTATATTTTATTCATTATAATTTTACGAATGACTTATGCTGTCTCTAAGATAGAACATTGTGTTCCACTGATTTATTGTGTGTTATGATTCGTTGTATCGTCTAGGCATTTTTTCGTTAAACTAGCACAGTCAATTTGTTAATAGTTACCTTTGCTCTGATTTTGTTTTTTTCATACGCAGTCGTTACTTTCCTAATTGCTTTATTGTCGACTATTTCTTTTCTTTCGAAAATACCGATATCCATTTGCAAAATGTTGGTTCGCACTTGCAAGCTCTCCAAGCGGAGAACGCGTGCCTGCTACAAGACGGGAAACAATAAGCTATAATGATATTTCTTTACTACATACCGTTAGTATAAGTAGCGTCTACACAGATAAATCCGTGAATGTATAGATAGACACAAAGACATATAAATGTAAATATAACTAAATTTCATATAGAGAAGAACATGTCTATGGCAAAAATCAATGAATGTTTTGAATCATTTAGTACCAGTTCAGTGTGTGTGAGTCAGCGCCGTGGTGTGGTGTGTTGGGCCCGGAACCATGTCTTCCATTAGAATATATAGAAATTCAGTAAGATTTCGACAGAGACTTTCATCGTAAAAACATTCCACGTGTATAAAAAAAAAAAAACAAGGTCAGTTCCATGGTTATTGTTACTTAAAGTTACTTTTTTTGCATTACCATTCTCGATATGTTTTTCATTCGTTCTCAGGTACTGCCATGGGGTCGATCGATGGAGGGAAGTTAGTAATTCCTGTAGCTCTAGTGATCTTTTTTTTTCACGTTGTGTTTGATAAATTCTTATTTTTATTTCTCTGTGATTTCGTATAACAGAATCTATAAATCACCTTTCTTTTGTCTTTATTTGCGTTCATTGTCTTTGTCCCTTTCTCACCTGGCAAGTCTCTCCTTCTCTTTCCTCGTTCTCTCTGATTGCTTTCTCTCTCTCCCTCTCTTTCTCTTTTTTATTTCTTGCTTCTCTCTTTCTCTCTCTAATTGAATTTGTATTATTTAATTTCATTTTATTAACTAAACACATAGTCAAATAAGTGCCATAAGCGATTCAAAGTAAGCACAAAATTTCGCCATGTTCTTGGAATTCACATTTTCGTAGTGGTGTGCGTGATGAAAACTAGTGTGCAGCGGTTGTTAGGAAGTTAGAATAAGTTCTGTCCAGTTCCCACAGACTAACGGGCGGTTTGTTAAATTTGTGCGAGGCCTGATAATTAATGTTCTTTTTACAGACATGCATATACTCAGAAATGATTACAGAACTTTCAGTCTGGACATGCAAATATACCGGATTGATAGATAAAAGTATACAAAGAGGGATAAATGCATTTATTTCTGTATATGCATAACCGTATGTAAGAAAATTCATTGGGCCTTGCGCAATTTTAACAAAGGAGTCGTTAGGTTTCGGTTCTATGCTTAGGTGATGGGTATGCATTCAGCGTGTTTACAAATAGAGCCTAATAGCCTTATCTACCTTTCTAATAACCTTATCTACCCTCCAATTTATCTCAAAGTGACAGTTTACAAAGGGGAAATGCAGACACATTAAAGATGGGAATGAATGATAAGCCATAACATTCTGGATTTGATTTTGCCACCTGAAGAGGAGTCAAGTCGGTTTCGATAGGTCATGTTTCCTATATTATTGTGTTTGTTAAATACCAAGATATTTCTTTGTTTCTGGCCGTGGTGTGTTAGTCTGGAAGGACCTTGTTAGTGCTGGAAGAATATTTTCCTCTAAAATTACCCTTCACGATAGGCAGCTAATAATTCTATGATGGGGTTGACAGAAAACGCAATGTTGCAAATACATTTAAATTTCCTCCTAATTATTGTCCTCAGTCAGCTGAATCAGGCCGACGCAAACCCAAAGACTCCCCAGTTACATGATTTCCTAATGGCACACACTCTTATGTAAGAATAATTTGAATGTGTGTGTTTGTGAGTGTGTGCGTCTACCCGGG